GCATCTTGTCACACGTCGTCCACCACCACTGTAGGCGTAACCCCGAATGTTGTACGATTCAGGACTTGAAGATAAGGCCAGCTTCTCTTCGTGGGCGGGGCATGCAATAGCCGAATTGGGTGAGAGATCATAGATGGCGTAGCGATCGTCCATCCACCATTTCGCGTTCTTCGCTGCCTCATCTGGGTCGACAGTGGTACTGGAAAATGTTAGTCTTGATTTCATTTCCGAGTCCAAGGCACATACGGTAGCACTCGGTTGTCGTAGATGTGGTACCAGTTGTCGCTTGGCTCAGCCGTGACGATCAACTTCTTCAACCACTTCACGCTTCGGCCACCAATCTGTCCCGGTATCACGGCTCTTAACGGCTTGCCGTGATCAGGTCTCAGCATCTCGCCATTCATCTTGTGCGCCAACATGATGCCCCGGTTTGGGTCCATAACCCAGTTGAGTTTCACCGATGTACCGTAGTATCCGTTGGGCTACGCATAGTATTAGACCTTGTACATTGTCCACAGAAATGCGACTTACCAGTTTGTCAGCACCTTCCATGCACACGTATTTCGCTTTCCGTAATGGCTTCGCGCGCTCAATGATGTCTTTCATGACTACGCCAGTGAATAGCGCTGTTGAAACGCCGGCTGGGCCCCAAGAAAATCCCTTGCTCTTCCTCACGACATTTTGCTCTTTCCGCCTGTTACCAGCGCAGACTAGAGTTACGGGATATGTAACATTCTCGTATTCCTCAAGCAACTGTCGCAGGGTGATTTTGAGGGGGTTGGCTACTAGACTAATGGATGTTTAGCATCTAGACATCATCTCTTTATAGCGCAACATACCCTTCAACCGAGAACTCCCAATCAAGACACTCTGCATCTTGTACATCAGGTACCGCGCCATGGTTTCGCACATAGAACAGCTCTGGGCTAGTCAAGAAACCCTCGTTGAATAAGTCCGTCAACGGTGCTTCGGTATTGAAAGGATGAACACCCGTTAGCCGGATTAGTCTTGGGTCTCTTGGTACATGCGCGTCCGGGGTGGGTTTATCAACGTCCAGAACTTGTGGTGGAGTATTTGCTGGCGGTGGAAGCGGAAAGTCTGGTTCTGATGTCGAAGTGGTAGACTTGGTGTCGTCTCCGTTCACGGTCTCTGGTGGTGATGGCGGCAATTGTATCGATTTCGATGCGGCATGTGGCTGTGGCTGATGTTCATGGGCAGGAGGGACGGGCACTCCCGCCGGGTTTTGAGTTGCCACGCTCATGATGCGTGACTAGGAGATGGGGTACCGAGACTTGGGGAAGATTCAGTAGGATCGGTATAGGGCTTGTGCTATACGTGACGGCCACTGTGATCAAACAGGTTTGGAAATATTCATGAAATTATGCCGATGGAGCGGAAAGGATATGCGCAAAGCGACGTATAGGCAAGATGACGATGCTGAGATACCAGACCAGACTAGACCGGACAAAAGGCAGACGGGGCAATCGAAGTTGTTTGGAGTTGGTGATACTATGTTAAACCCGGAGTGTTCTAAGAACGTAGTGGCACCCTTCAACCAGCTAGTTGGATACGTCAACGGTGTGGTCAACGTCAGCTGCTGCACAGCAATACCGCGGAAACTCGACTTCGATCTGTGGGGAACAATCGCATCCAGCATTCCGTCATCATCCTAGCTAGCATCGAACGCCAGGCTTCGGTCATCTCGAATTACCATACCAGATACGCTCTGATATGCGAGCTTATCTTTAACGCTCAGATTGGGGATAGCGCGTGATTTGTGTACGCGATGGCGTTAGCGGGCCTTGATGCCGCTAAAGTCTGTTCGTAGCCGGACCGAGAAGGCTGAACTTGGTGTGGGGGCTCGGCTCTTGATGTGGATCCAACATCCATCCAGCGGAGATGCCATACTTGAGCGGATGATCGGTCGCTCTAGAGATGCTAGACTGGCGCATTCTTTGATCTTGTTTGATGCACGGTAGTTGCCAATATTGCGCGAATTTTTGAAACTTCCTAGTGCTCACAGGGCGAAATCGCGTGTAACAATTCTGGTATTGGGACTATTGCGAACAGATTGTGGTCTGCAGACATGACATTTGTCACTCTTCTGCAGAGTCGAATGTATCGAAAAAGACCCGGTTGATATTTCGTCGCATGCGAAATAGACGCGACATATTCCTGCTTGTTTTCTGGCTTAGAGCCATAGCTAGAGTGCGCTATTGCATGGCTGAGAAGAAAGATTCAACGATTTTAGTTTTTAAATCATTGAATCTTTCTTCTCAGCCTTGCAACAGCACACTCTGACTATAGCTCTAAGCTGGAAATCACGCGTCCGAAGTAAGCCTTGGCTGCAGTGTTTCTCAACTCAACAACCATAGTACACCAGACCACTCATAGTATCTCTGACGCGTGGTTTCCTGCTTGTTTTCCAGCTTATGAGGGATAAGTCACAAAACGAGCAGGAAACCACGCGTCGGAGATACCATGAATGGTCTGGTAGGTCTTCGTGCTCGAATTTGTATTTCTCCGCGGCTGCGCACTTGCCGAGGCTAGCGACTCAGCGTAGTGCGAGGTTATCGCTGGGAGCTGCAAGCCAACATTATTTCCGCGACACTAGATCGTGTCTGCGAAGAGATTCTCATGCGAGATATATGCAAAGATCGCGATGCCTTATTCAAGCAGCTTCTCTTTGAGTGTTGAGCCTTGCTCCAAAGGCCCGACTCGTACTTGTCCTTGGAGTCGTTGCTCCATGGTCTCCGCGCGAGCTTTCTTGCGCTGCTCAGTCCTTTCTTTCACGCCCGCTTTGTCATATCGACTTTTAATTCCATGTTTGAGGCGAGTGATCATGTCACCCGCCTTGCCCTTGCTCACATCTTCCGGTTTCAAGTGATCTTCTTTGGGGCGGAATTTGTTCAGAAAGTCGACCTGAGCTTGCGACGCACGACCCTTACGCCATGATTGATGCTTTGAGATGTAGAAGTGTTGGAAGGCATCAATCGCATATGTGTCTGCCGCATGAACAACATGATCGAATGAGTCGCCTTCGGCAATGACACGCGCTCTACCCCAGGGACTGTTGACGATTTTATCAGCCGGCAACTTCCAGTGGTACTTGGCCATAAAATGACCTTCGACATCTCCGGATGGTTCGATTACTAAGTAGTTGCCAGTATTACCACTGAGAACGTACTTTCCGTCGCCAACGCCAACCCAAGCGTTCTGGCTAATATTGCGTATGTATTGATCGGCGGAAGTATCGGCTATTAGATCATGCACAGAGTCGTATTCAGTGAAGGAGACGGTTCCGGGTAACTTTTTAGCGACAGTTTTCTTCCTAAGCTCGGAAGCTTCCTCTTCGCGTTGCTTGTCGGAAAGCTTCTTTTCTTTAAGCTTCGTCAAGCTTTTAGTGTCTGCTTGGTCGACGATCTCGCCCGGATCGAGGCCAAACAACGTAGGCGTTGACACTACTCCGGTGCTAAGTGCCGAGACCATGTCGATGATGTGACAGTTCTGCTTGTCCTTATGTAACCGCATACCACGTCCGATCATCTGAACGAGCAGATTACGAGACTTGGTGGGGCGAGCTAGTAGCACGCAGTCGATATTTGGAATATCGGTCCCTTCAGTGAAGACACCGCAGTTCAGCAGCACCGGGAAATCGCCGTTTCTGAAAGCGTCTATACGTGCACTGCGGATCTTTGGAGGTGTGTCACCGGTGACATATTGGGCATCGATGCCGGACGTGCGGAACCTAGCGGTCAAGTCGGTGACATGGCTGAGGTCGACGCAGAATATGAGGGTCGAGTGTCGGTCCCTTGCCTTTGCTAGCCAGGTCTTGACGACGAGCTCGTTCGTCTCAGCAGTGTTGATGACTGTAGAGAGGGCGCCGGTTTGGAAGTCGCCACCAGCGCCAGTGCCCACTTTGGTCAAATCGGCCTTGATCTCGACTGTTGTAAAGATGACATCGGAAAGCCAGTTCTCATCGATCATATCTACATAGTCACTACGTATGTCAGTCTGGGTCTATACTCGGTAAAGCTGATGTCATACCGGTGATAGACGATGTGGTCAATGACAGCTCCCAGCTTCCTTCCGTCGAAGCGCGAAAAGGTGGCCGAGACGCCGACGAGGGCAGGAGCGTTTGACTTGGTCCAGTCGGTCGCATGTCTTAGTCCGAAATGCTCCAAGACGTCGAGATATGTCTGGCTGACGATGTGATGTGCCTCGTCCACCAGTACGAGCTTATAGCGCGAAGGGTCAAACTTGTCCAATCGTCCACCCGACGTGATGCTCTGTATGGAGGCGACGGTTATGTCGGCAGCACCAGAGGCCTGATTGTTGCCCATCTCGATGTCTACATGTTTATCGGGGTACGCAAGGCTGCAGTGGCGCGCAGCCTGTTCGACGAGTTCGCGGCGATGGGCGAGGATGAGCGTCTGGGAAGCGTCGCCAGTGGCGGCTATGCGGTCGATGAGGTGGGTGAAAATGACAGTCTTGCCGGAACCCGTCGCCAGAGAGACACCGAGGCGTTTGTGGCCGGCATCGAGGTAGGACAGCACAGCTTGTATGCAATCCTCCTGGTACTCGCGCAGCTGGATCTTCAGCGGCGGGGGAGGCGGAGGAGCTGGGGGCGGACTGGGGACCACGGCCTTGGGGCTCTTGGCCCTTCTTGAAGCATATCTCGTGGTTGCGCGAACAGGCTGGGAGCCCATTCGCGTGCAGTTTCTCAACGCATGCTGGGCGAAGCGGAACATCAAGACACGTGCCGGGATGGAAGGGCAGCGAAGATGTCGCCAAGTCACGATGCATGACGCAGGTCCATGCCACAAGACGCGGTACGCCGAGGCCTGGCCCCACCAAAATGTTTCCGCGCTCTTCACCAACCTTGGGACAACGCTGCCATCACCGCCCACCATGGCCACCATACGCGCACAACCACATGACGTGACCCAGCATATCTTCCACGGAGATACTGAGGTCGCGCCTGCTCTCTCACATCCGCCATGAGTTCCGCATCCGACTACAAGCATTCCGAACCGTCAGAAGATTCCAGCGATGAAAGTCCACGACCGCCTACACGACCAACATCGCGCCGCCAGTCGCCTACGTCGCACACACCGCGCAAGCGACGTCGTCTAGAGTCGATCGATCCTGCCCGCGTACGCAAATACTACCTCGAGGGAAAGTACAACGACGCCTACCGCGTGCTCTTCAACGAGGACGTGAGTCGGGCTGCTGCGCGCTTTGAGACGGATGCCGAAAGCTTCCAGTACTACAACACACAAATAGGCGCTTCGCATTGGTCAGCACGGGAACAGGCTGTTTTCTTCGCGGCTCTTGAGCGATTGGGAAGGGACGACGTGGCTGGCATAGCAAGAGCGATTGGGACCAAGAGCATACCAGAGACGCAGGAGCTGCTACTATTGCTTCACGATGCGGCCACTAGACAGTGTGACGCCAAGGTGACACTCCGCGACGTCCCTGCTGCCATCGACGTAGGCGACGAGTGCAACGAGCAGCTGGATCTTGCGGGTGAAGCCCTGGCGTGGATGCAGGAGGTCTTTGAGGCCAGCCAGGAGCGAGAAAAATTCGGCGACTACTGGCTGATCACGCCTGCTGTGGCTGACAAGATCGAGAGCGCGCACGACACTGGCCGTGACCGAGCGACCACATCACCGCCTACCAGCGAGCCAGAACCGTCACGGAGAGGTGGAAGAGTCGTCGTAGGGTATGCAAGGCCTACCAAATTAAGTAACAGCATGCTGACGTATCACAGAGCATGTGTCTCATGCAAAAAGTTCAAGCAAAAGTGCGATCGAGCAACACCATGCGCCAACTGCGTACGACGAAATACGGGTGAATGCATATATCCCGAACAATCTCTCGAACCAGAGGCAGGCGATCGGTCTGACAAGAAGCCGGCCAAGAGAAAGCGCGGCATCCTCGAGGATATACCAGAAGCCACCCTATTAGATCCACAGGTCATGCTCACTCTCTCCAAGACCGTCTTCATGAACCGCTCGCCTACGATACCATCCCCTTGGCCACATTGGTCCGAATACACCTCGGAGCTGGCTCGAGAACCAAGCATCTACCGGACCGCCTTCAACGACTTGCACACACTTGTTGTCTCCGTCACCAAGCGACTCGTTCAGACCGCTCTCATACAGGCTACTTCACGGCTCCGATCACAAAGGCACCGTGTGAAAGGCGGTATTCCTCTAGTAAAGAAGAGGGATGTTCTGACCGCCATCGATGTCGTGGGTATGCAGCAGAATGGTCAAGAAAGATGGAAGGGGGTAGCCCGACGATGTGCGCTGAGAGTATACGACGGCAAATGGTCCCGTTATCGACGCAACAATACCAAACGAGAGGTGCCTTGGGATGAGGTCGAGCAAATCATGGCCCCAGCGGAGCCTGAGCCTCAAACGACAGATGCAGAAACATCTGGCAATGAGACTCCCGATTTCGGTGCAAGAGCCAAGCGGAGCGGAACCCCACTTCCCTTTGATCAACTCGCCCTGTCAGATTCAGATGAAGAATCACTTGTGGGAGAAAGCGAACCTCCTTCCCGAAGCACGTCTCAGTCGAGAGATGTTGCGAATCAACCCACAAGTCCAACTCCCAACATGGTACCTGAGAAGCCTGGACCCCGCAAGTTGACCCTGGGTGAGTTCGATCGAGAGACGAGTCGAAGGGAGGAGCACGCCCTTTGGGATTTGCTTGGTCTTGAGCCAACCGTCAAACTTGAAGAAGTCAACATCAGCGGAGAGAGCGATGAGGAAGATTCAGAAGAAGGCGAAAAGGTTACAACATTTCCCGACGGTTGGCGCTCCTGGACACCCTGGCGTACCGAATGGGAGGAATTTGACACTCTACCATCTGAAACTGCCTTTCTTGCAAACCAGAAGCCTCTTGATGTGCCACCCATCCTTCAAGGGCACAGCTCAGACACTGCCGAGTCTAGCTCCGACGATGAGACCGACGCACCAACGCAAAAGCCGAGGCATCAGAGCAAGCCGTCCATTCAGCAAACGGTCGAGCTACAGACCCGCGGCACCCATGCCTATGCTGCGTTACAAGGTCAAAGCTCAAAGCCCGTTGGGTCTCCAAGCGAATCGAGCTCCCAAGACGATGATACGAGTGATGACAATGCACAAGACCACGGTCTACCTCAACCCCCCATCGACGATACTAGGGTGGAAGTTCCTACATCAGAATCAAGCGATGATTCGAGTGATAGCAGTGATTCGGAGTCGCAACGGCCGGCGCAGTCTATTGAAGACAATAAGAAACCGACCCCGAGCGTAGGATCGAGCGAAGTAAGCACCGACATAGAAATGGACCAGCCTGTGCGGTCCATTGAGCCTCGCAACACTAGAGTTCCCGCGCCGGATTCAGACGACGAGCCGAAAGAGATGGATTGGGAGAGCTTTATCCATTAGTAGTACATCATATGCGTTTTGTTTGTCGCATTCGACGTAAGCAATAGCCATAACAGTAATCATCAGAGCTTTCGGTCTCTCACTGTCGAGTCTGTCAACGTGATGGGCTACGTACTCGCAGCAAACGCTCACTCCGACCAGCCTGTCGAAGCGCCCGACCCCCATACTCGTCATGCCTTCTCACCCACTCGAACGAAAGCACGTCATATGCCTCTTTGCATTTCATTGCGATGTCAGCGAGTTATAGTGAGCTATGAGACCTAGTCAAAAAGGAGCTGAGCAAGTTATGCGTCACGGCACATCACGTTCATGGCTTCGTGGGGCAGATGCTTCCAATTTGCCACGCAGCGAACCTCCACCGCAGCTGCGACTGCCCATAGCTACGAATAGATGGGGTGCTGTACGCATCACAGGCCGCAACTCACTCAATGACGCAGCTAAATCCGCCTTCCCATCGTCACGCACTCGTTATATATATATGCACAAAACCTCCCCTGGCCTCTTCTCTCTTCCACAACTCTACACCTGCAGAATAACCCCAACACATCCAACCCCCTATAATCAACTCCATCTGACCAACCTAAGACAGTTACCCAATCCCCGCTACCTCGGACCTCACAGCCAACCCATATCACTACCTCGAACTTCACAGCCCCACGAAGCAAAACAATGCACATCACCACCACCTTCCTCATCACCCTAGGCGCCCTCGCCTCCCTCACCATGGCCGGAGAAGGCGGTGCGCCGGACCCTAACTGTGGCGCTCCTTTTTGTAAGCGCGCACAGGCCATGGAGAGTATCAGGGCGTCGTTGCTGGCTAAGGGTAGCGCTACTGCTACTGCTACTGTTGTTCCTACTGTTTCTGTGACTAGTGTTGGCGCGGATGCGCATGCGGATGCTGAGGCGAAGTAGAATGGGCGGATTGGTATGTATGTGCTTGGTCTTGGGATGCGGTGCGAGTGTTTGCTGACGGATTATAGATCGTAGCGAGTCTCCGAGGTGACGGCTTTGTAAAGGCGGTGCCCTTGAGCTGTGGGCGTTGAAGTGTGTGGCGGTCTTGTATTTTTGGGATTTTGGAATGCTGGGCGCAGTCGAGGAGCGGCAAGGCGCCATGGCTGGCGTTTGTCGATTTCAATCTGTTATATAAAACTCATGTCACAGTAATCGTAGACCACGAATACGCTTGCCTGTCAAAAAATTGCTCGTGTGATTATCAAAAGAACCTTCTTTAGATGATTTGCTTTGAGGTTGAAAGAGGTTATAGGCTTAGTAAATCATCTAGATAACCTTTTTCGACACTTCTAAAGCTTATATCCAAAAGTTTACAAAGGCTACTGTGGGTGGAAACACGTATGTGTACGGGCCTCTAGGTGCGGCTCTCTAGTAGCTGTGTGAACAGTCGGCGGACTTGCCATTCACATCGGGCGTAGAGAAGTCTTCAGTCGCGAAGACACTGTGCCAACGTAGTATTGCATCTTTGTCGAGTATACCATGCCGGTGCATGCGTGAACTTGTAGATATCCGCAGGATGTCCGGGGTGTTGTGACATGACGGACGCGATAGTTCTCAATGAAAGTATCGTGTATTTGACCAAATTCATTGAGAACTATAGCGTCAGTCATGTCACAACACCCCGAACATCCTGCGGACTCGCGAGTGCCTCAATCGTATCGTAACAGTGACGCCAGTTTCGGCTGCCTCAGATGACGGTGTTCGAGCTGTTGCTCGTTCCAACCCGATATACCGATGCTCCTCACAAGGAGACTGTATCGCCGTCCCTCATGTCCCATTCCGGATATGTTCGACCTTGGTATCAATCCGATGCATACAACTCCACTCATCGAGATAGAGTTCCTGCACCAGATTGACACTACCAAACCACTTCTCACCCAGCCCAGCACCCGGCAGGTCAGGGTTAAGCTTAAGCGCCTTAGCACTCCCAGCCGCCGCCCCGTATTGTTCAAAATGCTTCAACGAGTCGATCGCCCACACCATCTGCTCGTCGTCGCGATAATGTTCCTTCAACCTCGCTCGCCTGATATCCTTCCTTATCTCGGCTTCGGCGGTCGACCACGGCGGCGGGTAATCCGAGGGCATGAGCTTCTCGCTCTTTTTCAGGCGCGCGTTGTTGGCTTGGATCTTCTTGGCGGTCTTGATGTGCCATTCGTCTTTGAGGATGCGGAGGCGTTCTTGTTCGCGGAAGAAGAGTTGGAGCATGTTCTTCCAGTTGAAGTTTATTTCGCGCGCTGCGACGTCGATGCTGAGGTCGGGCAGTTCGGTGTCGTTTACGAGGTCGCCGATGCTGATTGTGTAGTTGGGCATCTCGGCTTTCCAGTTCTTGACGTTTTCTTCCCAGCGGCGCGTTACTTTGTGGTAGTGCTCGCGTTCCTTCTTCCCCGATGCTTTGTCTGAGCCGGGGTCTGGTCGCTCATCTTTGAACCAGGCTGTGAGCTTGTCTTTGCCTTTGCCGCGTCGCGCGAGCCGCGTGGACACCTCTGGCCTCTTGCTCTTCCCGCCCAGGTTGTACTTCTCGAGCTGAAAGTCTATGTGTATGTCTTTGAGAAAGTGCTCGCCGAAAGCATGCTCGACGCATGCGCGGAGTGTGGGAGAGACGCGTCGCACGACATTCCAGAGGTGCGCGAGGTCGGTGTGATAGCGAAAGACGTTGATCCACACCTCAGCTGGCAAGGAGGGACAAAAAAGTTCGCGAGCGGTAGTTCGGCGTGGGGCTTTTGAAGCCATTTCGAATGCATGGCCCAGGGCGTTTGGGCCACATGATGCTTCACGTTCTGGCAATCTGAGGTGTGCCGTATTGAAGCCCAGGTTTGCGAGTCAAGCTAGTGACGTAAGCCGGGCTTTCGTGACACTAGGTGGCAGAACTCGCAACGCGAAGATGCCCACAAAGGAGCAAAAAAAAGATGTCTGATCTCCCCACCATGAGTCGAACAAGGGACCTTCTGATAACAGCAGATATTACAGTCAGACGCTCTAAACCAACTGAGCTACGGGGAGAATACTTCAGATCGAAGTCGTGCTTGGTTATGCCAAAATTGAAAAATATTATGTACATATAGGCTACATTTCAGGGGAGTTCACAGCGACGTATGATTCATCTCGCAAGGGTACATAGCTGTGGAGGCGGCAAGCAAGACAAACTCTGTTAGCCTTTAGTAATGAAGCGGGGTATTGGAAGCCGCTCTGTCCCTCCCCACACATCTTAGATACAGAACATCGGCTTCGCTGGTACATCTCGAAACGCGAAAGAGAGTCGACTCGCTACTGAGTTGCGCTTCTATACATTTATCGCACACCGTCGCGGTTCGGTATACTATCGAAACTACCATAGTGAACACCGTCTATCTACCTAGGTAGGTATCCCAGCAAGGGATGACGAGGCTGAGTTCGTCCAAGAGGGATCCATGGATCTTTCAGTTCTGCCGGGACCCCAGCAGTATGACGAACAATTTCTGCCTATAGCCCTACAATGTTTTCTTGCTTACTGGCGTCAAACTTCTTGACACCTTCGTATTCGTGGTAGTGCATAGCACTTCCTTCCTCGTGGAGCTGTTTACTTTTCACGACGCATGCAAATGGGGGCCGCATCCTTCCCAGCTCTGCGCATCATTTGCGCACTCGTTTCATTCATCTCTTTGATCGAAATCTCGTATGGCGCTGAGATCGCACCCAACGAGACTACAAGTTATACTGGATGGCATAACGGTCCTGCCGAGCGCGGCACTATGACGATACTTTGGAGCTGTCTGACCACCGTATTTGCATGTACATGGACTATCCTCCATCTCAACGTTCCCGACCCTCTCGATAGTCAGTGGAAGAGATTCTGGCGGAAGACCAAATGGATGGGAATCACCGTTGTCTTTCCGGAGTTCGCGTTTGCGAAAGCAGTTTGCGAACTACAAATGGCGATTCAAGACCTACATGGACTTAAAGAGCAAGAAGTGAACTTTGGGTGGAACGTCGAGTACGACCGCGGATGCCAACTACTCTATTGGCTATTCCATGAGTTCTCGTGGTCCAGACCTCTACCAGTCACTGCGCACACCCAACGCCTGGCACCCAGTAACACAAACCCTTCCAGAACATGGACTTTGACACACTGTTATCTGGCGAACATGGGTGGAACTATTGGCAACATATCCATGCGAGGTATCCAGGTAGAGCACTTCCCAGTAACAGCACACGCCTTGGTCAAATGCTGTGTGCCGAACGGGCACAGTCCTTTCGACGATGAGTATCTTACCAAGGAAGAAATCTTCGACAAGTCAAAAGTAGATAGTCTCTTCAAGACTGCTGCGACGCTTCAAATTCTGTGGTTGGTCGTCTCTGTCATTACACGAAAGATGTACAACCTGCCAATTAGTCTGCTGGAGGTCTGCACCGTTGCTTTTGCGACTATTGCCATAGCTACCTACGCTGCCAATTGGGCGAAACCCAAAGATGTTGAGGTTCCGATCGAATTGCCGAAAGGTGTCACGCCGAAAAAGGGCGACTGCATGCTGGGGGCATTGCACGGAGAATCCTTTTTCCAACGCACTCTTCGTCCGTCCCAGCCGAGGTTGGCCAAATTGAATTATAGAGCGACGACATCCTGGCGCATTACAAACGACATGTTCAGACCCCAGGCGCAATCTGCACAATATTTCACATTGACGTACGCGTTGGCCTTGTCCACAATGTGTTTCGGAGGCATCCATTGTGCTGCCTGGCAGAATTACTTCCCGAGTCGGACTGAGAGAACTCTCTGGCAAGTCGCAAGTGTGCTTTCGTCGACGTTGCCCATCGCCAACTTACTTGTTATAACTGTTCTATTCAAAGTGCTGGGCAAGAAAGCCAACGAGGCCGTATCGACTACCGAGTTTATCATGAAGTCTCTTGTTGACAGGCCTCACAAAATAACCCCCGAGCCGGAACAGTGCAGAGACTCGAGATACGTCAGGCTCTCCTGGATAGCTAACACCCTCTCTATTGCGGAGCCTCCC